TCTCCCATCCCCCTCCTCTCTCCCCCTCACCCAGACAGGCAAAACAAGAACAAACCCCTTCGTTCAGCCTTAAATAGTCATTTGCAGAGGTGTCGTTGCCCTGGCCCTGCCCAGAGGTGGGTCCGAAATCGGAGCTGGGGAAGCTTCTCGAAGCCTCTGACAGGAGCCCCCTGCCCCGCTCCCACACCCCCACCAGGCACCAAACCAGCACACCCAGCTGTAGGGGGGTAGCAGCTAAGTGCACCTTGATGCTTTTAAAAAGAGAACTTAGCTGGCAGTTCAATGGGACCTAGATCAGGAGTGGAGCAGGCTGCAGGTCCTTGGTCTTGCTTTAGTTTTAACACCATCACTGCTGCAGTTTTTCCAGTTTTGTTAATACAATATTTGGGCTAGAAACCAGCATGTTAGAAACGTGTGCAAATGCCTCCTCCTTGTTGGGATTCCATTACACCTAGACTTGTTTGACTGAAGTTTTTAGAGCGGTCCTAGTCTGGCTTTGCAGTCCCTTTGGAACGCCTTGTTCGTACACTTGTTAACAAGCCTACAAAAACTTTGCCTTTAGCAATGCTTTCTTGTGAGCAAGGTAAGCAGCACGCAAGGTGTCGCAGCAGAAATTATAGACCTACCGATAGGAAATCTTATCATAAGAGTCTCTTAAACTGTGGCGCAGTTTCCAGCTTCTCTATTTGTAGTGGTTTGTTAAAATGAGGCAGATCTTGGCTATAGTTTGAGATACGAAATAACCTTTCACTTGTTTACAATGACTCTGAGCAGGAGTCCTGGTATGGAAGTCTGTTTATTAGGAGCCACGTATCTGGTTACAGTCTTTGTAATACACTTGGCCAAAGCCCCAGCAGTGAGGACGCTGCAAAGGACATTTGAGTACTGCCCTTGTTAATGCTCTGAATCCTTGGATATTTCTGTTCTAGTTCTTAAAATGACTGTATGGTTTTGTGGGTAAATTTCTTGCTTTAGAAAGGATTGTGGTTACTGCTTTGGTTTCACAGGGCAGTGTGCAGTGATTAGTATTTTATTGTTATAGGTATATAGCAGATTCTGTTGTTAAAAGATTTTTCCAGTAGATTGTCATCTATAGTATCCCTTTCCCTAAAATGAATAGGGAACGAGTGAATTTTGAATTGTTTGGGAATGTATCTTAGTGAAAATGCATCTGATGCCCATTTCGAACTCACTGATAGATCTTTCTGCTGCAGGTACACTACGTTATCCTATAGAGCACCAGAAATGGTCAACCTGTACAGCGGCAAACTTATTACTACAAAAGCAGACATCTGGGTACGTATAAAAACCACTCAACGTCATACAACCAGACTGCAGCTTGCTTTCGTTGCCATAATGCCAGGGGAGCTGTCTGGCTGGGGCTCACTTAGTTTCCATAAGAGACTGGAAGGTTTCTGAATAAAGAGTTCCTCTGCTTGATGTTTCTGATGAGTTACTGCTGAGCGGGGTGGTTTGTGCATAAAACATGCGTGCTTCTTCGCATGCTACCTCCCATGTGGTTTTAATTTGGAGATGTATGAAATTCCAGGGTTGAACAGTGCAAACCTGCTTGTATCGCTTAAGGGTTAAAACAGAAAATCGGAGTATTGTGACTTCTTGTGCCTGGATTGGGCTGCAAGTGGGTGAAATCAAAGTTACTGGTCAGAATTTAGTAAAGATAGACCTTCCCCCAGGAGCAATAGTATGCTTATCCTGGACAGTGTAACACAGGTCTGAGCTGTCAAACCTGGCCAAAGACCAAGCTTTTGCTCTGCTGTTTCTAGTGATCAGTGCAATCTTGCCACGCTTTTCATCTTGAGAGCAAAAAGCGACTGTGGTGTAATCCGTAACCGGCTAACCTGACCAGGGATGGAAACCTTCCCTTCAGTTGGGATGGAGGTGAAAAAAGGTCTGTGCTGTTGGTAGTGTGGTGGCAGCTCAGCAAGTGGGGTGTTTAAAATGCTAATTCAGAGCATGTTCGTCTGGTTTCTGAGGCCCTCAGCTAGGAAGTAACAAAGCAGGAGCAGTGTCAGGAGAGTTTTAGTGTATCCTCAATAGCTCTGCGTCTGCATATGCAAGAGGGAAGATTGCTGGCATGACATCTGCTGGGAAGAGTCCTCTGTCCTCTCTGAGAGCTGGGTGCGGAGTCAGGAAGGCAGCAGCTCCTGTGGGGCTCTGACTC